TCGCTTGCCATAAATTTATGACAAACAAACGTAAAAGGGAAACGAAACCGATGTGAGGTAAGACAGACTGTAGTCATTAATTTTTACTTAACCTTCGTCGTCCTGCTCTCCTGCTATAGATTGTTCCTAGGATTTATGAAAGTGGTACAGTTCATGGGCAATATTTTACATCGACGTGCGCCACGTAAAGATGATTAATGCCTAATTCATAATCGATTCCCGGCTAATATTTTACTTTCTAACTGAATTATACGAAAAGGGAGAAGAACGGAATTTGGAGTAAACGGAAGAGGAAGACACACGGAGGAGGTGGAGGAAGAGTGAAGATGCGGAATAACACAGGGCATAGTCATCGGTATGCATTATTCATGGCTTTGCCACGGCGAGTCCATATTTACAGTGCCGACGAAGGAAGCTGCGATAAGTGTCCGAGACTACCGCTCCTTGAGGATATTAGCATGATATTAAAAACTCGTAACTCAGCAAACAGTCAACTCTTTATCGGCATGCGTACTGTGCGAAATGGGACACTGACATCCTGGCCACCCATCGGCATTTTGTTTTTTGTTCATTCATCCCGTTTAATATATTGAGCAGCATGAAGCACGTTTTCTTTAGCGTTCCCGATTGCATTTTCTGACAACGAGATAAAATACAATTGTGACATAATCGTTACTAAAGAAAAAACGTAAAGAAGAAAGAAAACGAAGAAAAATGTCTGTTTTTCCGACTAGCTTAAACACCAAAGCCCAAATACGATACAACCAAAGTATCCATATTTATAACCTACCTCTAATCATTGTACTCACCATAAAATGGACATCTTTAAATTCCTTGTGCTTCCCCTAAATTAAGATAGGTAATCTACCACCAATTAGAAATATAAGAGAGACAATAGTTCTAATTGTAATATTATTGCTAAAATAATCAATAAGGTAAATCTCATTTTAGATTTTCTCAGAAAGATACGAGAAATTCCACGTTTATTACTAAGCCATACGAGCTAAGATTTAATTTAGAGCCCGAAGATATTTTTCGTAGACAAGATAGTTTTATATTGCTTATTGTTCAAATTTTAATAAGCTCGGTAAATGTCTAGATGATGGCCCCTACCCCAGAAGGGGGTGGGGGTTGGTGGGATCGAAAGAGAAGGTCTCCCCCACCACTGCATCATGAAAAGTTCGTGGCGGTCTCACCCCCGTAAAAAGTTATGAGGATTGAAAGTTGATTATTTTGACAATTTTCATACACTATAATTCAAATAAAATTCAATAAAAAAATTATATTCAAGCGGGTGGAGGTGGGTAGATCGAAAGAGGGTGGTCACTTAAACAAAACCCGATAACCTAACCTAACCTACCCTATTGATAAAGATATTTAAATAATAGTTTATATAACTTTCTCAATATTTTTATGTATTTTTCATTAGTTTTACCTTTGAATATTGTTTAAGAATGACTATATAAATATTTACATGCCTAGAAATGTATAAAAATTGGCATATTTATTAACTTTGAACCCCCATAACTTTTTATAGGGGTGAGACCGCCACGAACTTTTTATGGTACAGTGGTGGGGGAGACCTCCTCTTTCAATGCCCCAACCCCCTTCGGGCCATCATCTAGACCTTTACCACCTATATAAATTCGATTGCAAAAATTGCAGTAAATGAAATTGTTGGACAAACCAGACACTCCATTCACGATAGGCTAGAAGAGCATTTAGGTCTAACCGGATTTGGTAGAACAGAAAATCAGCAGCATATTCTTACTGAAATTCATGGAATTGAGTGTACACTGATGGGTGTTTTTTCAGACGCTTACAAATAAGTACCCTCGTGAAAATGTAAAGCATTTTCGGAAATCCCAAATACACAAGACAAAAGAGTCGAGTAACATTAATGAAAATTTAATTCGTTTAGATGAAATTTCACTAAGCGGTCCAAACTTTTGAATATCGCGTCAGAATGAAACAAAGTTTTAAAAGTAAAAGCGACCTACCGAAAAGCTTTTAGAATACCTAAAAAGCAAAAACGTAAATGCAAGTGGAACTCTCTGCAATTACTCACGGCTTTGTTTACAACATTTTATCTTCAATTTCTTCCACCAACATAAAATTTTGAAAATAAATTCATTAACTTGTTTAAAACTTCCTAATTTCTAAGCAAAATTAAACAATTTATTTACCATCAGTAACACTTTTGCTTTTTGATTATCCTACGCTTTTGCTTGTGAATCTATCTTGTCATTTGGCAAGTGTATTTATGTGTTATGTATTTACAAACAAATACAATATTTCATAATTTGTTTAACGGTTTCATAATTACAATAAATCCTTACTAAAGTTTTCCTTTCTATTATTGTGGCTGTCTTGGTTCGATTGTATATTCTAACATTCGTGATTCTAACTTCTGTCTTGTTAAATTATTACTACCCCTTCGATTTCACATTGAAACGCATCCACCACAACTGAGTATCTTTTCCAATCCAATAATAACATTTTGAACTGCAATGTAATTGAAGCATGACCTCGGCGTACGGTTTCCAATATAAACTACCAACAAACACAAACATACATAGATACACTCCAATGTTGAAACGGTATTCTGTTTCCCAAAAGCTTCGCTCAAATGAAACAGCAAATTATTTACATTCTCTCTTTGCTTATACATGTATACAGGGCGTTTCTGAAATAAGTAGCAAGCATTTGAGAGTGAAAATGAGTTTGTAAGAAAACCAGACGAAGTTGCAGTCGGAAGCCGGCCCTGGGCGTGAACTGACAACGTATAGAGATACTGCTGTAACAACTAAGCAACTATATCGACGAAAGATGTAAAAAGTGACGGTTGTGAAACGACTAATAAAGTAAATATCAACAGCTTTCTATACTACGCTACTGCACCTAATAATCTTTAAACGCTCATTGCGATAACAACTGATGTACACCACATAGTATTTAGAACACAAAATACGAGGGTGGATTGATAAGTTTCCGGCCTAACCAAGAGATGACGCCACTAGGCCTACCTTGAGGNAGGACTGGAACACCGCTATGAGAAATGTATCAGCCTTGGAGGAGATTATGTTGAGAAATAAAAAAAAAAATTTTTAAAAACCTTGTTTTTCTTGGTCAGGCCGGAAACTTATCAATCCACCCTCGTATAAAAGAAATACTCGTACAACAAGGATGTTGCAGCTGATGGAATGCGACGTTGCAATGTCATATTTCCCTGCGTAATGCTCCCAGGGCCGGACTGACCCTTTCAAATACGTTTTTCTCGAAAACAGTGGACTTTAGGACTACTAAATTCACTTAATTTTCTTGTTCTGTAGTGCCCTATCACCTCCCGTAAGCTTGCTACTTACATATTTTAGGAACACCCTGTATAGTTATTCCTGTATATATACTGTAAAACTATAATAAAGACCAAATAACCCTGTTTTCTACCCCTCCACACATCTGTATGAATCTTCAAAATTCAAAGTATTTTCATATCTAGAAGATGGACATCTACAAATATTTAAATTTTCGAAGAAATGAGGAGATATTAGAAAGAAAAGGAGAACAAAGGTCGCAATAGACGTTAATAAGACAAAGGAGAAATAGGATGAAAGTGGAAGCAGAAATGATCTTCTCGAACTCCGTCTGGATGTTCTAGATTTCGGGAAATTCGAAGTTTAATTCGCGATAGAGACGAGATAAGCGAATACTATTTCTAGTATAACCATAGGATAACAGTTTGGGGGTAAGTTTTTTTTTTTTTTTCATTAAACAGATAGTGTTGGTATCTACTACTTGGAAAAGCGTTTCAACGACTGTCAGTATTTTCTCGATTTACATATAAAGTATTTTCAGTGAAATGAAAAATTTTGTGAGCTTTGGTGTTTTTTTTTTTGACGTATCTACATACTACCTACCTATGCGGTGATCATTTTAGTCATACACAGAAGAGCACACAACGGGGTCGAACATCTAGTTTTTCTGTTTTAATTATGTTTCTGACTGCGTGTATACCGTGGTGTACGTCATACACGCTTCAATTTCCGCTACGCCGAACAATTTTATGTAAGCGTCAAACATATCGCATGCATAACAAATACATTTCATTTTACCCTGCCAACAGCGTTGCCAAACGAAATGGGTTTCTGATGAAACCAGTTGGCAAATGTTTATTAATTAAAAGTTCACCCCTAAAAGCGTTAATCCACTATTGATCTCATGGATGTAAATCTGAACCGCAACACGTAAAATTTTCAGAAATAAAATAAAGCACTATCGACAGTTTCCACCCTATTATTTGTACCGACACCTTCTACTTTTGAAAACCAGGAAAATGTGAACTAATAAAGTGTAATAAGGTGACTGTGTTTAATGTTGATATAGCCTTACCATATTCATTTTATTGATATTTCAACCGAATACCAGATCAAAGTTTTGTGATTGACCAGACACAATCAACATGCAAGCAATATTTTATTCTGTTTTTGGCAACACTGCTGTACGTAGTTAAAAATCTGCATGTACTTGAAGTGAATTATGTCTAGAATTTTTATCTATAGTGTTGTTGTGTTGGAATATGGCTATTGACATGATTGCATTTTCGAAATCTGAACCCTTTATACCGTATTTCCATACCACATTTCCGACATATAATATTCAAAATGTATATTTAATTTAAAAATAAAAATTTCACTAACAGTGACTGTTAATAATTAATAGCATTACAAAACTAAAAGCTGAGAAATTCCAATGCTCCCCCTGTGGCTACGCCATTGGGATATCGATTCATAATTGAGAGTTAATTAATTAAATGTTATACCAAATAATCTTGCTTTGCTTACTTTATTATTATACTATTTTAAGTGCATGGGATTATACATTAATCTTAATACTATCATTTGTTCTTCGAATACACGAACAATTACCGAAGTATACGTACCATGAATTTAATTTTTCTAGATATTATAGAAATGCTAAATGAAATAACCGGCAATGGGAAATAAAAAATATGGAGATTTTTATTTTGAGTTATAATTTAATCTTATAAATTACGTAACGTATACAACGAGCGCCTAAATTTTATTGTGGCAATTACAGCTGTTTTATAAACGATCATTTTTTACGAAATATTATTTTCAGTTATCCTGAAAATTGACTAGCCTCTTTTCTTTATTCCTATTTTAATTCCTGTGGTAGACTTTAGTATTGCTTCAACGATTAAATTAAGTCGAAAATTTTCATCTGCAGGATGTAATTCAAATTTTCGCAAAATATGTCCTATAGTCGATTTCATTTCAAGCATTGCGAACTTTTGACCTTAAAAACGATCAATTTATGTATGTGGATGTTTAAATATATAGATTTTAATACCTACCAATACAATTTCTCGGTCCAGCACTAAAAGGTACATATGAATATGGGTTGTTTATTTTAACGTTATTATTCAAGAATCGTTCTGGAAGAAACTTTTCAGGCTCCGGGAATAATTCTGGATCTCTAAGCAAACCGAAAGCAAATAAACTGATGGTTGATCCTTTAGGTATCACTTTTCCATCTGATACAAACACAAATTAATCAGAAAAAATTACAACCTTTCTATGGTTTTTCTTGTATAAAAATGTTTCTAAGAATCTTACTTTAACCAAGGATGTAATAATGTATCATTTTTAGTATACAAAGAACAAAGAATTGTCGCAAAAGTAGCTCATTTGTAGTCCACAAATTGATTGATTTGAAATTCAAATGATACCTCTTTAATGCGTCACTAGTTTATAAAGAAATATTGATATAAGCATAGAAAAACATTCAGAGTTCAAAGTGATTAAAATTGACTAACAATTGTTTAAAAACTATCCATCCCTTTTTCTCCTTCTATTTTATGTATCATCAGTTTCATGTTTTTGAATTGACTCATCAGATTAAGTGGTAAACCACATATTGTATCGGAATGCTACATAGAAGGCTAGATAAAAAACTGCATGAAGAAAAGGTTTCATAAAAAGTATACGTTTTTTAGTTTCAACTCAATTTTCTTTACGATTATTGTGTCATTAAAATAGGCCATTTGGACCTCTAATCAGTTAAAGTAAAACTTGGTGGACCCCCAAACAGAATTAAGAATTGTGCATTCGGGCGCCCCCTCTGCTGAGGGTAAATTGAAATGTAAATTACCATGTACTATGTCTTCAATTGCCAGTCTGCCAAAAATAGGCACTGATGGATATAATCTCAGAGTTTCCTTTATTACAGCTTCCAGATATTTCATTTCCTGCAAGTCTGAATAAGTGTAGTGATCGGTGCTACTCTTTTCTGAAATAGTCTTTAGTTCTTCGACAATTTTCTTCTGTACTTTTGGATGTTGGGAAATATTGAACAAACAAAAACTGATTGCAGACGCCGTCGTATCGTGGCCCTATAAAATGAATTGTAGAAGTCTGTTTAGGACAAAATTCAAAACGGTGGGACCCCCTAAGTATAATTGTAACTGAGCTGGGGTGCGAAGTGACACATCCATAATACTTTACACAAAATTGTATGTATCGATTTTCAAAATACTCTAACATACCATAGACCAACAATGCATCCCACTTCGAAGCATCGCCTAGACACAATTACTTACTTATTGCGTCTTACTCTTAGCCCTTAACTGTTGAAAATAACGCAATAGAGAGGTTCTTATCATTTAATTATTGAATTTAGCACTTGTCATGCATAAAAAAGTGTTGTTGAATGATGTGATCATTTTCAGTATCTATTTCATTTTTTTTTTATTGTTTTATCTGAAGTGCTGAAAGTATATTACAAAACAACGGATTTTAACTTTCCATGCTTAATTTGAGAAAGCAATTCTCTATTTAAACATTATAGATTTAGCAATTACATTCGAAATTGTGATCAATTACCTCAAACATAAAAGTGTTGACTTCCTCTCGAATGCTGATCTCAGACAGTCGTTCACCATCGGCCTCAGCTTGCAAAAGCAAATCTAAGAAAGCAAGTTTTCTTTTGACTTTAAACTCTTCGGTTTGGTAATTTGATTGATTTTCAATCTCTTCTTTTCTTCTTTTAACGACCGAATCCGTTAAATCATTGATGATTTTGAGAGCATCTCGCTCCTCAACGAATTTATTGGTGAACTTGTATATCGATTCGTACGACACAAAAAGACTTAGAGATCTTTCCATCATTATTCGGGTAACTGTCTGGACTGCACGAACGTAATCGGAGTTGTCATCAATTTGAGCGTTGATTTCCGTCCTTAACGCTGTTTCTATAATCCGAGTTTTTATAAACAATCAACAGAGTACATTTTTAAGTTTTGTTTTCGGTTTGTTAATGATTTATATTTTTTGACAACTAAAATCCGAAAATATCACGGATGGTTGTTCGAATATTTTGAAAACTATCTTACGAAGAGTTACCATAAAACGTGCGCTTTCCTTACCACAAATAATATCCAAAGTAAATAATTTCAAATAAGGAAATACATCAAAACATTTGGTTCCAACTTCACGTTCCCATTTGTTAATCATAATGTCAACGTTTTTTTCAAATACATCTAAAAACTGTTCGAGTATATTAAAATGGAAAGCAGGGGTTATCATTTTCCTGTGACCTTTCCATTCTTTTCCTAATTTGAATAAAACAAGAGATTAGATTTCGTCACAATTGATACTTGAATTAGTTTGAACACATACATAGTGATTATGTAACTTTAATTAAAATGCAACGGAATTCTGTTAATTATTAAAATGACATACGTACCCTTTATCTAAACATAGATTAACAAAGAATTGAAAACTTTGTGTTTTGTTTTAGGCTAGAATAGCGATCTTAAAACGTTATTACCCCATAAATAAATAGGTACCTGTACTTGTCAAAAGGCCATTTCCTAACCAGTTACGTAAAAACTTATAATCCTCTGATTTCGTAATGTATTTAGTAGAAGACAAGAAAAATGTCATAAACTTAGGATCACAAATAATCACTCTGGGATATTGAAAACCAAACGACAGTTTAAAAGGAGATCCATATTTCTTCTTGAATCTCATTAAGTTTGGCAAAATATCTTAAAAAAATAAAATATTTTTTACCAAGGAAATAGTAAATTTGTTACCGCCTCACCGTTTATTTCTCTGAAGTACAGGGCATTTCCAATTAAGGGTACAGGTGCTGGGCCAAGTATATTTTTTAATTTGAAGAAATAATTGTAATGAAAATAAAACCACAAAAATAACGAAAGCAAACAGAATACGAATAATATCACAGAAGATAACTCCAGCATCCGAAGCAACATCTTAACTATGCATTTAAACAAATCGCGACTTATTTATAATGTCAGATGCAATTAAGCTAATCTATTCGCATAAAAACACTTGTCATTTCATTATCGCAACTACTGTTGTAACAAATACGATAAGCAAAGGGTAGAAGTGTTCAAAATGTGGTGTTACAAGCGAATGATGAGGATAGAGAAAGTTAGAAATGAGGAAGCATTAGCAACAATAGGAGGTCACTACGAAAGTCAATAAGAAATGGGCACGATATGTTGAAAAGACATCTTCTCAGACATGAAGGGTTAGTTGAATACAATATTGGAAGCAGAAACAGGAGTTAAGAGAAGTAGCGGAGGCCTAGATTAGATTATTGTTCACAAATAGTTAAGAATGTGGGATGTTCTGGAATATTAGCTCAGGGTAGAAATGAGTAGAGATATTACGTGTCCAAGCAGTTTTACTGACGACCTTACGAGGATGATAATAATGCAATTTATTTTTTATTGCTTATATAATAAATAAATTATATATTAAAATCTATCTGTACG